ATGACGTCAGCTCGAAAATTTGCCGAATAAATCATATCTAAAATGTACAAAATATGATCCGTCTGTACTTGTGATCTATCACTCCATTCATATTTTTTGGATTTGCATATACAGGGTGATTCAAGAAAATAAATGAAAGCGTAAATTTATTTTACTGATTTACTCAGGAACTACAAAACCGAATGCTTCGAAATCTTGAAGATATTTTAAAATTATCATAAGCATGGTAAATTTTTGATCAAAACGTATTTGGTCGTCCCCCCTAAAAAATTTATGATGTCACCACAAAATTTTGCTGAAAAAATCCTATCTAAAATGTACAAAATATGGTGAGTCTCTTCTTGTGATTTATCATTCCATTCAAATTTTTTCGGTTTGCATATACAGGGTGACTCAAAAAAATTAATGAATGCGAAAATTTATTTTATTGATTTAATCAGGAACTACAAAACCAAATGCTTTGAAATCTTGCAGATGTTTTAAGGTTATAAAGAGCATAATAAATTTTTAGTCAAAATATATTTGGTTATCTTCTACAAAAAACTGATGACGTCAGCTCAAAAGTTTGCCGAATAAATCGTATCTAAAATGTACAAAATATGATGAGTCTGTACTTGTGATTTATCATTCCAATCATATTTTTGGATTTGCATATGCAGGGTGACTCAAAAAAATTAATGAAGGCGTGAATTTATTTTATCGATTTAATCAGGAATTACAAAACCGAATGCTTTGAAATCTTGGGAATATTTTAAAGTTATTATAAGCATGGTAAACTTTTGTTCAAAATGTATTTGTTCATCCCTCCTAAAAAAATTGATAACGTCACCCTTAAATTTTGCTGAATAAATCCTACCTAAAATGCAAAAAATATGATGGGTTTGTACTTGTGATTTATCATTCCATTCAGATTTTTTAGATTTTCTTAAGAGGTGGTTCAAAAAAATTAATGAAGTCAATTTATTTTATTGATTAAATTAAAGGCAACACTTATTATTAGTATTACACCCCTACCAACCCAATTTGGTAGACACAAAATTTGTTAAAGGAAAAACTCGGTTGAAACATAAGGGTAGCACGCTTATTTACATCGACTTTAACATTACAGACCTGCATTTGTTTTATGCGTTCACTTGGTTCCGCGAATGTGAAATAGACATGTTTATAATCAACCAATTGTGAATTTCACCGTCAAGAATTAAAATAAAACCCAATGTTTTATATAATAAGCGGAAGTCGAAGCAATAAAACCGATGGTCGTTTTGTTTACAGTTTCTCTGTTTGACTCTCACGTATGCTGTTACGCCTGTCATCTTAAATTAAGAATGTTTATACATACACGATTTTCAGTTGCCTCTGATAGGTATACGTGAGTAAATTGTTTCGTTATTTTATTCATTATTACAAATCAATATTCAAAACGACCCAATTCATTTTCCCGAAAATTTGAGAATATAATAATTTTATTCTTAGTATTACACTACATCTATCCCAACTGATATACGTGTCCTTGCAAAAATGTTGATGACGTCATCGCAATTTTTTTTTAAATTCCCACAACAAAAATGTAATGAGAAAAAAACACAATAGGCATGCAGTCGTCAAGTTTCCGACAGCGAGGGAAGTACTGTCTAAACTCTTTAGACCAATTTTTTGAATTTGCATATGCCGGGTGACTCAAAAAAAATAATGAAATCTACTGCGAAAAAAAAACATAATAGACATGCAGTCGTCACGTTTCCGACAGCGAGGGAAGTACTGTCTAAACTCTTTAGACCAATTTTTTTATTTACTGTGACTGGCATTATTTATATATTTTTTTAATTATAGGGTATATCCAAAAAGAATTAAATTTTCCAAAATTCCATTTTATAATTTTTCGAAGAAGCGGGATTTGTTGACCTATATTTTAGGGATGAGGAAAGGTATGTGTAAATGAACTTAGATCAATTCTACAACCAGCGATCGCAAAACTTTTCCAATGTAAGCAGGTGTGGAAAAAAAGCGACAGACTCTAACACTTTAGGCAAACCCCGAAATTAACAGCATAAATGATATCAGTGAATCCATATGTCACGGGTGTGACAGAATGAGGACATTTTTAATCTTTTGTCGTAAATTAGAGATATTTTAGAAGAAATACCATTGGTAGTATGTATATGAGAGTGTCAAGAATTATTTATAAAAAAAAATGACAAGATACAATAATGGGAAAACAACATCTGGCGTCACGGGTGTGATTCGTAGAAAATTGAGTACAATATTTTAAAGACAAATTTTACTATTTCTGCGAATTTCAAAACCATTTTTTCCGTTCCTTCAATACACAAACTAACGAAGACTTGGTAATAGTTTTTGGTCATAAATTACTTGGAATAACCCATGCTTTTTTACACTGCATCATTTTAAATAGTCTCACGGGTGTGACGTAAATTTGCAACGGGTGTGACATACATACCTTGAATATTAAAAATTATAGTAAAACTGGCATAATAAAACAAAATTATATCACAAGAAGAACCATTTTATTAACGTTTTAATATTTTAACATTTTTGATCTGAGAACGAGTACCTTTTGGGTATTATTCACACAGATGTAAAAATAAACAGTTTGCCTTTTGTTTCTTGATCTATGTATTTCAAATTTTGAGTACTATCAACTGGAACTAAGATGAAACTCCTGAAGCACAACAAGCGTGCAGAAGCGACGTAGACATTATTCAGGTATTTTATTTACTCCTTTTTGTTATTTTGTTGTAACTGCTAAAAATGGAAATTCCGTATATGTAAAAATCCCTATATATACGAAATTGATTGCAACCAAATTACTAAATCTACATGGTCTACCTTTGTCTAAAAACATCCTGAACGGTTTATACTATTTATTTGCCAACGGTGGACAAGAGGCAAAGATAGAGGTCCATTTTCCTTTGTATATTTGTGATTAGAAAACCAAAGTTTGTTTCAATCCTTAGAGTTCATAGAACACTCCTAATTTTTTTATACGTGCATTTCAGTAACATCATACATGCATATATTTTTTTTAGTTACATATACATTGCACTCACCATCAACAGAAATTTGAAATCAATGTTAATTTCATTTAATTTTAACTTTTGTACATTCGGACTTGTCACACCCGTTACATTTTTTCATTCGAGAAATTTGATGAACACAATAACTTGATAACGTGTTTTTTATTTTGTATACCAATATTTAACTTGCGGATGAATTGGTTTAAACCATCCCTATAAATTTTTATTAAAATACAGTCACGGCCGTGATATAAAATCTGATTTATATCAACCGCTTAAAAATACTAATTACTATTCGATTCCTTACTAGTCGATTTTAGGTGTTTTATATATGACATATTAAAATTTATCCTGCAATGTATTTATAAAATGATTTCAGATTTTCATGTGCTTTGTTCTAGAGAAAATACGATTGAATCAAACCAAGCACAAAGAGCTAATAAAAGTGTTAGTGCAGGTTTAAAAAGACTAAATATTTTACATAAACAAGTTTTTTTTTAGAAACAAATATTATCTCGGATGATTAAGACTTTAAACTTTTGATCTTCAACATTCTCATATTTGTGCAACTTATTTCATTTTTTATTCACTCAGGCTCATTTCGTGTGGAGTTACTGATATCCTAACCTAACAATTTTTTTAAGTTTTAAACTAGCACATCATTTTTTGGCTGTGTTTAAAATACCGAGTAAAGTGACGTATGACCATAGCACACTTCTAACTAGAAATTTTTTCGGCCACTCATTCTTTCAACTTTCGGGTATTATCAGTTATTGATGATTCTAAGAAAGTGAAGTTACAATCAACATTTACGATTTATCTCCAATGAACTTCATTAAAATTCGTAGCAATACTTTGAATTGATTTGATTGAATAATTTTAACAAAATTTCATTAATTCATCTACTGAAAAAAATCACAACAAAATAATCAAAATGTATAATACAATTTTCACTTTACCTTAGCAAGTACGGAATCAACCCTTTTGCCACCTGGGTAACTCAGTTAGTTGTATAAATAAACTAGAGATATGTGACAAGCACAGGATATCAAAGTGTAGAGAATGTGAAATTCCTGAAAATAGCGCATTTTTAGTTTTACACATAATTAAAATTTATTCTTAAAATGGATGCATTTTAATAATAAAAAGTTGACTATTGTCTCAAAATTCACAGAGCATCTGAATAAAATTTCTCATCAAAAAATGTCACAAAAATTCTGTTTTGAAATAACCTAAGTATGATTATTATTATTGTCAAAGCATCTAGAGCGGACAAACCAATTCTTTTGGCATTATCGACTACCTATAAAGAATAACTTACTAGAATTTAGAAAGCTGAAAATGTGCCAAAATTTGTAGTTAAAACAGTAATCATAAACGATTTACACTGTAGCAGAAGAATGAATTGATTTTTGTAAAATAAAATCACCTATTTATTCTAACTAAAATGGCGACCTCAAATCAGGAACAAATTTTACATTAAATCCCAATGCATCCTAAATATGATTGTTTCAGCGTAAAACTAAAAGTTTGTGAACTTTTTCTGAACGATTTATGCAAGTTTCCTGAAATATCAATTTAAATAAATTAATAAGCAACTACATTTTTATTTATTTTTTTTAATGTACAAGAATATAAAAAGCATAGATTTTAAACCAGTAAAAAAATTTGTTTTTATTTATTTATTTATTTTTTATTTTTCAGTTGAAATATTAAAAAAAAACTATCTAGGTCTTCCATATCTCCAACAGTCTACGTCAAACTCTATTTAAATTCTCCATTCAGCAGCATCAGTTCCCCACCGCGCCTAACCCTAGGTTATCTCGCCAAATTAGATAAACTTTGAACTTCTCCATAACTCATTCTCAGTCAAAACCGTCCCGAATCCAATCCATCACGCGTCAATTAACTCTTTTCGTCGGCGTCTCAAGTTCGCAACTCCCAGCAGCGCTCCCACATACTTACAATGCAATAAACGTGATCCAGACTGGGACACTCCTTCAGCTCCATATGTGTCTCGTTAATACAGGGTGTTATGGAACCCACCCCGTCGTTATACTGGCCGCACTGGTAACATTGCAATGTCGCCACCGACGACGCCGCCAACGCCGCCGCGAAAACGCACGCCGACAGGAGAAAATTCATCGTGATTCGGATTTTTTCTTTCTTTCGTTGCAAAGTTGGCGCGCTCGCCTTCTCTTGTTCTATAGGGTGTGCGCCGCTCGCCGCCGCCAGACCAACTAACTTTAACTTGGAGAGAGTTTGGGAATTGGCCTGCGCGACTCCGCCGAAATTGTGCACTTTTTCCGTCTCATTTGGGGAATTTGTGCTATGACAGGGACGTATTTATGTTTAGGTTTTGTTTACAGAAGCGGAATTCTTGACCGGTCATAAACGGGGAGGGCGCCCCTTTTTACGGTTGTTTTGCTGCTTTTTATGGGGCGGATCGATTGGTGTGAGTGACAAAGGGCGGGAGGAGAAAATAGAAAAATTAATTAAGGGTGGTTACGGCTTGTGGAGATTGCAGGTTTATTCTCATGATGGATGCGACTGTTAAATTTGACAAAGACAAATTCACTTTTCAAGTTTTGGAATTTGTTGCTGATTTATCTTCAGGTTGTGGTTAATGTTACGTGATTTTGGAAGAAAATGGGGCATTCATTTTCAATGTAGTGGAAACAATGGATTTAGATCAAACGCGCTAAGGCTCAAAATCGTTTTCACTAAAACATCCAAATTGAACGAAAACTGTACATTGAAAAATCTCTTCAGAGCATACAAATAAATCTTCCACTTCCACAAATTGTGTACAATATAATTCCAGTCCCAAAGCAATAAAAAAATCTAATTAATTATAATCGACTCTAGTACTACTACTTGGCTAATTCAGACGAATATTTTTAAATTTACGAGAAGGACCTTAATCTCTTTAATCGACGTTTAGCATGCAAAAACAAGCATGTGTCTATAAAAAAAATGTGTTAAATTATTTAGAAGATCTGGGCAAAAATTTGGCAAACGGACTCTGTCAAAGATCCAAATGACGAAAAAAAATTAAGTAAAAGCAAATACACAAAACCCTTAAGATTGTTACAAACTCATTCAAAAACAAAAGTCCGAAGATTCTTTCATATTCTGTAAAAAGAAGACACTAAGAACCCTAAGTTTTTTCAAACTCTGTCATGGTTTTTAAAATAAAAAAATGTCAGCCTGACTTGAAAAAAAATGGTGTAAAGACTTTAGACAGTACTTCCCTCGCTGTCGGAAACGTGACGACGGCATGCCTATTATGTTTTTTTCTCATTACATTTTTGTAGCGGAACATTTAAAAAAATTTTTGCGATGACGTCATCAACATTTTTTTGAGTCACCCTTTATATGCAAATCCAAAAAATATAAATGAAATGATAAATCATAAGTACAGACTCGTCATATTTTTAACATTTTAGATAGTATTTATTCACCAAATTCTAGGGTGACGTCATCAATTTTTTAGGGGGGATGAGCAAATAAATTTTGATAAAAAATTTACCATGCTTATGATAACTTTAAAACATCTCCAAGATTTCACAGCATTCGGTTCTGTGAAATTAATTTTTTTTTAGTCAACCTGTATATGCAAATACAAAAAATATTAATGAAATGATAAATCACAAGTACAGACTCATCATATTTTGTACATTTTAGATAGGATTTATTCAGCAAACTTTTGGAGTGACGTCATCAATTTTTTAGAGGGGAAGAGCAAATACATTTTGATAAAAAATTTACCATGCTTATGATAACTTTAAAACATCTCCAAGATTTCAAAGTATTCGGTTCTGTAATTCCTGATTAAATCAATAAAATAAATTGACGCATTCATTAATTTTTTTGAGTCACCCTGTATATGCAAATCGAAAAAATTTGAATGGAATGATAAATCACAAGAAGAGACTCACCATATTTTGTACATTTTAGATAGGATTTATTCAGCAAAATTTTGTGGTGACGTCATAAATTTTTTAGGGGGGACGACTAAATACATTTTGATCAAAAATTAACCATGCTTATGATAATTTTAAAACATCTTCAAGATTTCAAAGCATTCGGTTTTGTAGGTTCTGAATAAATCAGTAAAATAAATTTTGCGCATTCATTAATTTTTTTTGAGTCACCCTGTATATGCAAATCCAAAAAATATTAATGGAGTGATATATCACAAGTACAGACGCATCACATTTTGTACATTTTAGATAGGATTTATTTGGCAAACTTTTGAGCTGACGTCATCAAGTTTTTGGATGGGCAACCAAATATATTTTGACTAAAGATTGATGATGCTCTTTAGAGCCTTAAAACATCTGCAACATTTCAGAACATTCGGGTTAGCAGATTCAAAATTAAATGGCAAAATGTTGTTTTATAATTTTGATTTTTTTTCCAAAAATCTGGACGTTTCGGGTAAAAACTCAATTCGGAGTCGTAAACTACATGTGTAGGACTATGTTATTTTATACAATTTAAGACCCATTTACTATGTACAATTTTGAAGTGACGTCAACGCATTAGTGGTGGGGATGATTAGACAAATTTTGGCTAGCGTTTTACCATCTACATGATATTCCTAATATAAGTACAAAATTTCAAAACAATCGGTCCAGTACTTTCGGAGATTATCTGTCTAATAAAAATCCGGGACGGCAGACAGACGAACAGACGGACAGACGGACAGATGGACAGACAGACAGAAATGAGAGACCTATTTCTTCGTCTCTAGGGGTCATGAAAGATCGAGAAAACGTAAAAGTAGAGAGTCGGCCTTGGACTCGATTACAATACTTCCTTTGCTTACGCTCGGGAAGTAAAATGGTAAAGTTGGAGCACAAAGTGAAATCTAAAGTGGATAACAATTTGACTATACATATAAAACCCTAAAATTAAAAGATTTGGACACGGAGAACAATTTAACGTCGAACACTGAACTCAACAAATAAGTATTTGAAAAAATAAAATTTAATATTTAAAGATATGAGCAGAACTTTGTAGTTACTTACATGTACACTGGTGGAAAAAGATCCAAATTTTTATTTTTTTAAAACACCCTTATTTCATTTTCAACCCAAGGGTTGAAGGTAGTAGTCGCTCAGTGGTACAAATATGCAATCTCCATTGTACTTTCTAAATATAAGATAATATTGATCGAATAATAATTATACCTTCTGACTTAGCAGTAAATGTAAAATACCTTCCAATGTATTTTTTTTCAGCAGTGGCAAGTGAAATTAATCTTAAATTACAGTTTTCAAATATCAGTCCGATCTACATACAGCGTGAACAAAAAATGACGAATAAGCTCGATGGTACGAGTTAAGAAGGAACAACTCGAAAAAAACTTTACTTTACTTTACTTTACTTTACTTCCATACGAATATAGCCAAGTTCCATTTACTTCGATAGTAAGACATTAATCTGAATACTTTGTGTTGGGTGTTGCTCAGAAAAAGTCATTCTTGGTAAAAATGTCGTAAACAGTAAAACTCACACACTAGTTCTGAATAGAACTGATTTTTATAACGGAAATAAACCTGAAGATGAAATAACAATAAACCGCGAAACATTTATACGTAAGTCTAGAAAGCTGTCACATCAAATGTCAATTATCTGTGAACCCGATTGCATTTAATTGATTTCAGATAGTAATGATGAAACCTATCTATACATATAAAATTGTTTGTCCTGACTGACTGATTCATCAACGCAGAGCCTAAACTACTGCAGCTAGAAACATGAAATTTGGACAATAGTTTCCTTTTGTGATGTAAACACCCACTAAGAAAGGAACTTGGGAAATTCCACCCCTAAAAGGGCGAAAAGCGGTGGTAAAGTTTGTACAAGAAGACTATTTCCTAACCATTTCTGTTGTAAATATTTACGTGAAACTTGGTATTAATGCTTTTCAACACAAATAACGAAACACGTATTTCACCATTTTCCGAAATTCAACCCCTAAGGGGGTAAAAAGTGGTGGATAAGTTTGTACGGGAAAACTACTTCTGTTGCACATTTTCACGTGGAACTTGGTAGTAATGCTCTTCAACACATATAATGACACACGTATTTCAGCATTTTCCGAGATTCAACCCCTAAGGGGGTAAAAAGTGGTAACTAATTGTGTATGGGAAAATATTTCTGTTGTAAATTTTTGCTTGGAACTTGATATTAATGCTTTTCAACACAAACAATGTAACGCGTATTTCAGCTGTTTTTGAGATTCTACCCCTAAGAAGATCAAATGAGGTGACAAAGTTTATATGAGAAAAAATATTTGTATGGCGATATTTAGTTGAAATGTTGTTAACATTTGTTACTTGAAAATTGGTAATCATGTAAAATTGTTTGTCTTGACTGACTGATTTTAATTCTTTTTTGAAATTCATCCCCAACGGAATATAATTTGGGTGGAAATGAAATGAAAGGATGTAGCTGTAGCAAAAAATATCCTCGAATTCTCCTGAAAGAAACCCAAACAGGCGAAGACAGCTACCCTCAATACCGGCGAAGAGGTTCCGCGGATGGTGGATTCACGATTGAATTCCATGTTGTAACCCTATATAACAGATGGGTGGTACCGTACAATCCACTTTTATCTTGAACTTTTGCTGCTCACATCAACATAGAGTATTGTAACTCTCAAACTCCAACCAGGATTATTTGGTCTTGAAAATGACAATGATGAGGTCAAATTATATGAAAGTGGTCGATATATTAGCAGCTTTGAAACTGTCTGGAGAATCCTGACCCTTTCCTATACATGAACAATTTCCAGCGGTTTTTCATCTCACAGTGCACTTGAAAAATGGCCTGCTGTCTGTTTTAATCCTAACGACTTTAATAATGTAACTGAAAAGGTAAATAATTCACAGAAAACTACTTTTCTAGCATTTTTTGAGCTTTACAAAACGAATAATTTTGCAAAAATCCTTTTTTATGTTGAAGTCCCTTCATACTATGTGTGGAAAAGTACCAAATTTGAGAGACAAAAACGTGGAAAAAATGTTGATGGTTGGCCGGGAGTCAAAAGCGATCAAACTTTGGGCAGAGTGTACACCGTTCACCCTAATAACGCCGAATGTTTCTACCTTGGTCTTCTTCTTCAAGAAATGAGAGGGCCAACATCATTCTCGGATTTAAAAACTATTGATGGTGTCGCTTATCCCGCATATCACTCATCATGCAAAGCTTTGG